TTGAAGAAGACATCAAACAAACAATAAAATATTTAGGAGGGATGCTCAGCGTGGTGCACGGGGGGATGAAAGGCAGATTTTGCCAATGTAAGACCAGGAGAGAAATCCTGCATTTCAGGGTAGCAGGGCCCCGTGAGTGCAGTGGCAGGCCAGTGTGGGCAGAGCTGGGCCTTGCCGACGGCCCCGGGAGGGGCCGGGCCTGTGCAGGGTGGGGCTGCTGCAGAGAGGCGGGCCCAGCCTCATCACCAGGAGCAGAGCTGCAGAAACCTCACTTCACTCAGTGACTAGGCGATAAAGTAAAACGCAGCTAATGAGTGTGGTCGTTCCAGGCAATGGGACTCAGCCATGGCAGAGTTTGGTGACCCTGAGGCTGGGCTCCGGCCCGCACCTCCTCCTGCACGGTGTCAGCTCCCGGGCCACCCCCTGAGATGTTACAGACGCCAGACGGAGCTTTCAGGAAGCGGGAGAGCTGGGAGGAAGTAGGGGGGAGCTTTGCCAGGCAGGAAGGAGTGAGCAAACACTCTAGCCTGTGCGTACAGCAGGAGATAAAGAAAGAGGTCTGTTGTCAGGGCCTGAACAAATCCGTACGTGGAAGCCCCAGACCCCAACAGGATCACACAGAGGGAGGAGGCGTCAGGGGGTAACTGAAGTTTGTATGAAGTCCAGAGGGTGGGGCCCTCCCGATGAGGTAAGTGCCCTGATGAGGAGAGACCAGAGAGCTAACTAGCGAGCGCCTGCTCTCTCCCTCTCTCCCTGTTGCCACGTGAGCTCAGAGCCAGAAGGCGGCTGCCTGCAAGCCAGGAAGAGAGCCCTCCCTCTGCAGGAACAGAATCAGCAGCCACCTTGACCTTTGTTACTTACAGCGACAGAATTGGGAGAATGCATTTCTGTGCTTAAGCCGCCCAGTTGCAGTACTTTGTTACCACAACCCAAGCTGACTAAGGCAGGCGCCACGAGTCAGGATTCAATCGACACGGTTTGTGTGAATGCCTGGGTCAGAGGTTAGGGTGAGCGGGGGAGGAGCGTGTGCTGGGGGCCATTCACGGGCTGGGAGACCGGTGGCGAACACCTCTTCTCCACTCCGTGCTTGCTGATGTCGTCTCGGCAGCTTGAGTGAGCCGGGGTGCACTGTTTGCACCGTGGGAGTGGGCAGCCACTACACACCAGGGTTCTCGCACTGGGGAGGCAGCTGTGGAACACTGGCCGGCGTGCCCCTGGTCAGCGAGGGGAAAGCCTTGTGGGAGCAGAGGTCCCGGGAGTTCTCACTTTCGAAATTAACCCTAACCTCTCTGCTGGGGTTGCCGTTGCTGTTTTAATTGCTAATACACGATGGCACTCCTCAGTTATCTCTTACGACCTACCCAGAGTGACTCGGCATGGGTAGGCTCTCCTGGCAAACTAACCAGCGGTTAAAGTTTTGTTTCTGTGGGGAACTGTGTCCAAATGGCAAGTTACTGACTTTAAAATAAACTTTTGGGAAAACAGCCCGCTTGTGAGCTGGGGACTTTCAGTTCTGGGTCCTCGTGGGGACACTAGAGAACAAAAAGAATCACGTCAGATTTTTTAAAAAATACAGGTTGCACAAGAAGTCCCGGGTGAAAAGGAAAGGAATGGAATGACTGCACTTGGAGGGGAAGGAGATGAGGGGCAGCCCAGTCACGGGGCACGTGGCAGCTGCATGCACGTCTCTCCCCCAGACACATCGGGGGTCGGGCCGACCGGGGCGGGGGGTGGGGGGGCTGTCTGTGCGGTCCTGTCCTGGGGTGCACGGTGTGAGTATTCCACTTTGAACACTTCCAGACTCACTCTACCCAGTCAAGGGTGTAGTGCGTATAGGACCTGTTTTGGGGACCAGGAAATGTTAAGATCACTTGGCTGGCTTCGGGGTCCCAACCCCTCCCTGGGCTGCAGTCGGCAGATGGTATATAATGCATTTCAGAGTTTGAGAAATGTGATGTGATTCAGCAAATCCCTTCCAGAACACGTCTCGGAGTGTAATCTCAACACGTCTTAGCATACCTAAACCCAGAATGTATCCTTCTCTATCCAAAAACGAGTATCATAAAACTTAAGCTATCCCATACGAGCATAAAAACCTTAAACCAGCTATTCTGAACCCATACTTCTTGACCATTTAACGAGGGAAAAGGTGTTATCTGGGGCTTGTTAAATTAGTGTGGTTCTAGTTATTCGTTCGGAAGGGCTGGGGGTGTGGCCTCCCTGAATGACGTCACAGTGCCCTGATTTGGCCTCTGCTGAAAACTTAACAAAGAAATGACGGCCGTGCATCTGCCCCTTGGAGCCTTAAACGGCCCACGGCCCTCCCAGGCCCTGGTGTAACGGCTGGTTTACGACGTGCGTGGTCCCAGGATAACGCTCTCGAGCCCAGCACAGCCCTCCCTCCAGAACGGGCGTGCGTCCGTAAAGCTGCTTAACGGTGACTCTGAAACCCCCAAAAGGGGTCTCTGTGGCATAGTTTCGGTTTGTTGGTCTAAAGTCCTTAGCTTCCCGGAGGTCCCTTCGTGATCCTCCTGGGTCCTCGCCAGGGCATCCGAGAAACGGTACCGGCTCCCACTGGCCAGATGGCCCAGCCCCCTGCTGCACCCGGCCCGCACTGTCCTCGAGGGCCTCCCACTCCCATCGGTCGGTCGGCACCGCGGGGAGCCTGCACCCTTGCTGAAGCGCATTTGCAGGCTGCGCCCTGGGTGAGCCAGCTGCTCCTCTTCTCCACCCGCAGACCGCGGCCTGCCTCTGGCTCCTGGGCCCCGGCTCCACTGTGTCTGCTCCCGGAAGCCTTCCTAGGGCCCCAGAGAGCAGGCTGGAGCCCCCAGCGTCGCAGGTCCCCCACTGCACCCACTGACCCCGCACCCGCCACGATGTCGGGTGGTCTACCGCGTGCTCTACACGGAGAGCGAGGACCGGGGCCTCCACGCCCGGCATCGAGGCGGGCCCACGGCCGGCACGCGACCGATGCCCGCTGCAAGAGGGAGAGCCAGCTCAGGACCTTCCAGGCGGCGAGACGGGGTTCTCGTCTCCCAGCCCTCCCAGCAAGGCACAGACACTTGCCACACACTCATAACACATAACACACTCGCCACGTGTCCGGGTGTTTGACACGTGTCTGGGTGTTTGACACCTGTCCTCCCATGCCCGCTGCTGGACAGAAAGCCCCTCAGGGGCGGTGACGCACTTCATGCGTCTCCACGTTCCAGGACGTCCTGCAGAGGCCGGTGTGGAGTGAGTGTGCCCTTAACCTGCGTTTGCCAACGGCACCCCGGCGTTTCCAGCAGGACGATTCTTCACCGTGCACAGCAGACCCACACGTTGGAGGACGCCAGCAGTCCTGCCCCTGCTCACTCAGCACCAGTGGTGCCCTGTCATTTGGACACACCCTCCCACACACACACACACGTGCACATGTGTGCCAACACTCATATGCACACACATGCTCCCACATGCATGCACAAACATGCACATGCATTTGTAAAAGTCTTGGGGTGGGAGGTCAGGCGGAGAGCGGGGCTGCCCGTAGCTGAGAGCCTCTCGTCACCAGAACCCTCACCACAGCTCAGTGAGCAGCGGGACGTGGGGACTCGGCGCCAGTGCCAGGGTTACCTACAGACGGTTGCCCGTGTGTGGTGGTGCCAGGCGGGGTGCAGGGCGGCATCCATGGCCCTCCGTGGGACGTGGTGAGGTTTCTGTGTAAGGTGACTGACAGATCTTTGTTGAACGTTCGCCACACACCCAAGGCACTAGGCTGAGTGTGCACCTCGGTGGTTTAGTCCCCACGACAGCCTGTGTGGCCCCATTTCTCAGTGAAGGACACGGAGGCATACAGAGTTTCAAGCCATAGACCAAGTCCACACACTCGGTCCGTGTCAAGGCCAAGAGTCACCGCGAATCACTGTGCTGGGCTGACTACTAGGCGTGTTTAACGAGAACAGTCTTCAGATACCCCAGATGCAAGAATGCTTTTTAAGTTCGTCCCTCCTATTAATTATAATGCAGTGTGGTGTTTCACAGAATCTGTCCACGTGGCATCGAGGTAGTGGGACAAAAAGAAGGGGTTCCAGGGGCACGGAAGTTGGAGACACGCTTCCAAAAGAGCACACGGAGAGGGCGGTGGGGCAGTAAGCACTGAACACGGAGCCAGTCTCGGAGGGGTGGTACCTCAGGGTTTCCTAGTGACTCGGGGTGGTTTCAGAACACCCCGGGGAAACAGCAGCAAAAACCACGGCAAGAGCTGGTCTGCCAGGAAGTGATTCACAACCAGCCAGCACCCACCAATCAGGCTGCAAGCAACGCCTGAGGAAGGGCTAGTGACCTTTCTTCTAATTTCATCATAATTATAGGTACTATTTATTAGGTGCTAATTACTTTAGATTTCTTTTTGTAATTTTCACTCTGATCACCTCCCTTGCACAGATAACATTCTGAGAAGCTGGTCCAGTCACTTCCCCTGCGGCCGCTAACTGTCTGACCGCCGCGCCAAACTTGAACCCAGTTCTAACTTCATGCCTCGTGATCTGAAACACTGCACCCCGAGCTCCCAGCACTGAGGGCGAGGTCAGGGCCTTCCTGTGGGCGTGACTGAGGCAGAACCGTCTCCAAGATGGTGCCCAGGAGCGCCTCCAACGGGTGGTTCGTGGTATATACACCCCTGCCTTCGCTGCAGTGGGTCTCTTCGACCTGACTTGGTTACTCGGTCCGAGTACTCAGCTGCGGTTCCTCTCTGGCGTGATTCACGGTTCTTAATCTTACTGTTGTATCTGAAACTCACAGATGGGCACGTTGTTGCACAGTTTTTTTTTGGTGGTGTGTTCACGTTGAGGAAGGAACATCCGTCTGCCTAGCCGTTCGCCCGGTCTGGTCCCCTCCTGGCACCTGAGTCCATCCTCAGTGAACCGCCCAGAGGCAGATCCTCAACCCGAGTTTAAGTTGCTGACGGTCCCAGCGCCCGACTTCTCCTGACCTCCCAGTTTCTCTTTCCTTTCCAACAGACGTCGGCGCGTTCTTTGAAGAGGGGATGTGGCTGCGGTATAACTTCCAGGCGCCGCCCGGGGCCAGCGGCAGAGAACCGGGCAGCAGGGCGGCGGAGAGCGCGCCGGGGCCGGAGCAGCAGAGCCCGCCGCCCGACCTGGCCCACGAGGAGGTCCGGTTCAGCTTCAGCACCTCCAAGGCGCCCTGCATCCTGCTGTACGTCAGCTCTCTCACCACCGACTTCCTGGCCGTGCTCGTCAAGCCCACGGGTAAGGACGGCGAGGCCGCAGGGGGGACACCCCCCACCCCCCCACACACCCCCGCAGTCGGTTTGCTTTAGCGGGAGCAGCTGCAGCCAGTACAAGAGCAGCCCCTTCCCCTGCCTTCCTGCCCTCGGGGCATGAACAGGGGATGCGGGAAGGGAGCCCCCTCTCCACTTACCACTATCTTATTTTAATGAGCAAATATGAATATTCTCCCAGTCATCATTCCGTGGTCCTCCTGTGCTGCTATTTGAAAGGAATTGATACAGCATTTGAATTTTATTAGTTGGAAAGATTGCCGTTACTATTTATAGATGTTCACTATATATGCATTGAAAGTTCCAACTCATCTTTCTTCTCAAAGCCAATAATTTCTGTTGCCGTTAAGTGCAGTGGTGATAGACATTTTAACTCGTATTTACAAAGTTCAAGACAGCCAGAAGAGAGAAGCATCATTTTTATAAAGACGCAGCTGAGTCCTGAGTCCGATGAGCTGGGGCAGGTGGAGGGGCCCGTGGCAGAGACAGTGCAGAGGGCAGCGCCCAGTTTTTTGGGTAATTACGGGACCCACACTAGGGCGCAGGGGCCGGCCCATCAGACAGGGCTCCGCACTTACGGCGGAGCGCACGGCCCACTTCCAGACGCAGAACGGAGCGCGCGCTCTGAAGAGACGCACGGACGGGCGCAGGGCGGGCACCGCCGGGAACTTGCACGGGCGGGCTGCGACTTGACCGGCACCGGGAAGTAAAGTGCGGAGCCGGCTCCCTGCACGTCGTCCCAATGCCCGCCTGCTCGTCCCCTTCGCTCCTAAGCGAGAGGTTGTTTCCAGTTCTCTGGGAGGAAGGAGAACACGGGGTAAAACGCTGAGGAGCGGGAGAGAAGCCGCTCCGCAGAAGGGCGCTGCGTGGGCCGGGGCCCGGGGGGGGGCGGGGTTCCCTATTCTGGGGAGGGGGGAGGGAAAGCGGAGGCAACAGAAACGGGGCGAGTGGGAGGGCGAGCAGAGCGGTTTGGCAGGGAAGGAGCGGCGGACGCCGACGAGGCAGAGCGGCGCGTGCACCGCGTGAACCGTGAGTGTGTTCATCCTCGGGGCAGCGGGAAGGCTTCGAAGCACTCTGAGTGAACCGGTGCAGCGGTCAACTGTGCCTTCTGGCAAGACCTCTCTGCGGGGAAAACCTAAGGAAGGAAAAAGCACAGGAGCAGGGAGACCGTCCTTCGTTCAGTCAACAAATACTTATTCACACCCGCTAAGTGTCGGGCATGATTCCATACGTTGCAATAATATGTCGTGAAGAATATGAACAGACATTACTTCTCTCGTGGAGATTACAAATACTTGAGCAAGAGAACACAGACAATGAACAAATGAAGGACAATATGTAGTGTGCTATATGGTAAGAACTATAAGAGAAAAAAACACGACAGAATAGGGAGGACCTGACCAAGGGGAAGGAGCCAGTAAATTCTGCTCTCGAAGAGGAAGTCCCAGAAATAACCACTGAGAAGATGATGTCTGAGCAAAGACCTAAAGGGGGTGAGGGGCCAGCCAGCCAGATACCTGGGGAGTAAGACCCTAGATGGAAGAACCAGCAGGTGCAGAGGCACAGGGCAGCAGCCTGCTGGCTTCTGGACAAACAGCAGGGCGGCTGCAGTGAGCGCGGAGGAGAGTGGTGAGAGGTCATGTCACAAGTGATAGTGGAACGTATGTGCGGCCCAGTGAGCCACTGAGAGTTTGATTTTTTACTGTGAGGGAGGTAGGAGGAAGCCATTGGAAGGTTCTGAGCAGGGTGTCATTCTAACCACCAGGTAGAGAGGAGACCAGGTGTGCCAGGGGCAGGGCCTGGGGTGGCGAAGGTGAGGGCAGGGCAGACGGAAGAGGTTAGTGTGGCGGCCAGTACGATGATCAGACCAAGGGAGGCGTAGGTTTGGTCTGGGGCGGTGACGGAGGTGGTGCCCAGCAGCAGGATTCAAGGTATCTGCTGGGGAGCCGAGACAATTTGCTGGCAGATCCCACGTGTAATCTGGGAGGCAGCGGGGAGGTGGAGCCTTCGGCAGGAATAGCCGGAGGGACGAGGGGGAATGTGGAAAACCGCAGTGGGAGGCTTCTGGGGGGGAAGATCAGGAGTTTGGTCCTGCGTGTGGTGTGTGTGAGGGGCCACAAAGACACCTCCTTTAGTGGGCTTGCAGTGAGGGGGAGCAGAGAAACAGAACCCGCCCGAGAGTGAAGTGAGGTCAGCAGGCTCGCGTGCAGAGGACAGACTGGTTGGCAGCAGGCGAAGCTCGGATGGTGGTGGCGGCCGTCAGCTCACGGACACGGAGTGGCCAACCCAGGCGCCAGGGGCCGCAGCTCCGGTGGGGCCGAGACGGCCGGGTGAGGGCTCCGGTGGGATTCACGCGGGGGCGCTCCCGGTGCCGGGAGACCCTGCGGATACAGAGATGGAGGAGAGCAGGAAGGTGAGGCACGTTTCCGAGACGAAGACCAACGGTGCTCGGGTGAAACGCCGAACGCAGCGGGGTCTGGGCTGAGACTCTGAGGCAACACCCAGAACCGGAGGAGGCTTGTGGAACTCGCCTAGAAAGCAGAAATGGAAAATACAGTTTCTTCTTTATTGTCCTAATGAACATCTCTTCCAACTCCGGGAGCAGGGTGGAGTATTTTAAGTGGCACGTGGAATGCTAGAACGCCCATGTAAGGAAAAGCGGCATTGAGAAACTACTGCATTTACTTGTGTATAAAGCCACGAGAAATGTCTGGAAGGAAACACTGCCAGATATTTAGAGTCGTTATCGCGGGGTGGTGAGGTTTCGAACAACTTTCTTTTATTTTTTTTTCTTCCTGTGTGCTGTTTCAATTTTCGTGTTTTATTTCACAACTTAAAACTCAGAATATCAGTTTCTTGCCTCCAGAAGGAAAATGAACCCGTGAGGTGATTTGCAGTTGGTGAAACTCCATTTTTAAGCTTGGAGATGGTGACTATTAAAATGAAGATTCCAATTTGAGTGGAAAATGAGATTAAATATTGATGTCTTTACAAATCATAAATGAGAAATAGAAGTTACGCTTGCTGTGCAGATTAGTTAGAAGCAGGATCTAGAATGCCCCGCGAGTCTTGATTACTGTCATGCCCGGGAGGAAACAAAGGAGGAGGGAAGAGAGAATGATCCTCAAGGCCGAGGGAACTGGAACCGAGGCAGCGGCCACCGGGGGCCTGGGAAGGCCATCTTCCTCTCTGCTCTGCGTCTGGTCTGAAGCCATCTCCAGCCTCAAAAGTAATTGCTTCGCTTCCTAGGTCTCAGTGAAGCCACCCAAAATCCCATGTGTTTATCTTCTATAAATTATGTTTATTTTGAATGTTGTACGCTCATGATTCTTTCATGCACCGAGTGTCACGCTTTGCTGACGCCCTGGGCCCGCGCCTGCATCCCGAGTTTGTTTGGTGTCCCGCCGAGGACACGGCGGGGGTCCTGCAGGCGTCTCCACAGCCCTGTGTTGTGCGTGTTCTCATTCTCCCTCCCAGGCTCCCCCCCAGCTCGGGCCCTTCACACCGTGTGCTGTGTCCACTGCAGGCAGTGGTCACTGGTGGCTCCTTGCTGGTAGGTGGTGGCCGTGCGGGTGCCCGGTGCTGTTAGCTTTTATGGATCAGGGTGCCTCGGAGTCGTCTCGGAACAGCAGTGGTGTTGATGATGGACAGCAAAGGAGGAGGCAGCGTTCCGTGGGGCCCTGCGTGGCAGAGGGTGGGAGACGTTCCATTAACCTGGAACCTGGAGCAAAGACGTTGCTGAGACCCCTCCCTCTCCCGTGTGTACACAGGAAGCCTGCAGATCCGGTACAACCTGGGCGGCACCAGAGAGCCCTACAACATCGACGTGGACCACAGGAACATGGCCAACGGGCAGCCCCACAGTGTCAACATCACGCGCCGCGAGAAGACCGTCACGCTCAAGGTACACGCGTGTGTGCGCGTCCGTGTGTGTGTGAGACAGTGTGGCCACCTCTGTCCTCTGTACTGCTTGCACATGGTTCTGTGTGGTCTGGTTCTGGAGGTGGGGGCGGGGCAGATGGAAGGAAGGCTTGCTTGGACCTGTGTCTACAAAGCCCAGACTAGTGAAGAGGAAGCTTAGGTGGCCCTTCTAGCAGGGACCGTGACGGAGCCGGTCGGGCGGAGATTTCCGAGGGAGAAGCCAGAGTAAATGCTGCCTCTGTGCGCGCTCCGTAGCTTCGCTGCCGCGGCCCACACGGCCGCCAGCCTGCTGGTGTGTCCGCGCGCCATCCGCTTCCTCCGAGTGCTCAGGCGTCTGAAGCGTACCGCGTTTCCCAGCAAAGGTGGTTCTGCTCTCTCCGACCTCCTTCTTCCACTGTCCCACCACGATATGGATAACTCTGTTTTTTTTGCTTCCATGGCTGCTTTTCCTTAAAAGTCCCCAAGACACAGACCTTCCCCAGAATCTCCAACTCCGGCTGTAGACTCTCCGCACACAAAGGGATGGTTTTATTATGACACTCGAGTTTTATTTCAGGTTCATTGGTTGTCCCTACCCCCGCCGCCGACTTTCACGACGAACGAACCTGCCTGGGCGCCGCCATGAATAAAACATAGCAGGAGGAGGTCTCCCTGGGAGCGGAGCCCAGAGATCAGGGGTGGGAACTGTCACTGCGCTCTCCGGAAGGTGTGGAGAACAGACACCTGTCGGCGGGGAGAACTGCAGGAGGCCGCCTCGTCAGCGGAGTGTGGCGGCATTTGGCGGGGTCCGGCGGCCGCTCAGACCTGGCTCGGACTCGGGAGTCTGCTTGCCGAGGGAGGTGCAGCTTGCAAGAAAAGCTGCAGGCCTGTCTCTCTCTGAGCAAGGGCAGATGTCAAGTTCATAGATTCATGTGGAGTTTGTGCTCGGACTTAAAAGTCTTGTTATGTTGCCCTGGCTGGTGTGGCTCAGGGGCTTGAGCACTGGACTGCGAAGCAGGAGATGGCGGGTTCTGTTCCCAGTCGGGGCACAAGCCCGGGATGCAGGCCAGGTCCCCAGTGAGGGGTGTGCGAGAGGCAACCACACATTGATGTTTCTCCCCCCCTTTCTTCCTCCCTCCTCCTCTCTAAAATTAAATAAGTAAGTTAAATTTTTTTAAAGGAAACTGCTGAGTAATTGGCTTGAAAGACAGTGTGACCCGGAAGTATAACCACTGCAGCCGTAGACTCAAGCAGGACGAACCCTTACTCTCTCCGAGGAAGTTGCCATTCGTTGGGGCCAAGGCCTGCGGGCTGTGGAGCCGCGGGCAAAGTGCGGGCGGGCTGCGCGGGAGCAGAGGGTAGAGGTGGCGGGCAAAGTAGTCCCACTTCTGCGTGTGTTTCCCAGAATGAGAGATTGGAGGAAGGGCAGGCTAAGAAGGCCTGCCTTCTGGCACCTTCCATTAACTGGGGATGCTGTGGAACTAACCGGCAACTCTTTTAGAACGAATATTAGGCCCTCACTGGTGTGGCTTGGTTGACTGGAGCATCATCTCATAAACCGAAGAAAGGTCACTGGTTCTATTCCCGGGCAGGCTGTGGGTTCAGTCCCCACTTAGGGCTCGTAGGAGAGACAACCAATCCATGTTTCCCTCCCTCCCGTCTCTCTGAAATCAGTACGCATGTCCTCAGGAGAGGATGAAAAACGGTGATAAACAAATATCAGCTTCATCAGAGCTGCTGTCTGCCGCAGTGGACTAGAGAGGGGTGGACTATTTTAAGAACCTGGGGCTTTCAAGGGTGGAAAAGCCAGAGAAATCCAGGTGGTGGAGGAGAGAGGGACGGCAGATAACCCAGGGGACTGAGGGAGGGCTTGGGGAGAGTCTGGTTCCAGGGCTCAGGGTTCTTTTGGTTGCCAGTGACAAAGGATGCATTCAACACTCGTTTGTGGGAAGAATTCCTAGAGAAGGTCATGGAATTTCAGAAAGGGATCACCAGAATTTTAGAGGAGAATCCAGGGGACCTGGAGGCTCAAAACAAAGACTATCGCTCTCTCCCTCTCTGTCCTCCCTCCCCCTGCCCCCCTCCCATCCTCTGTCCCCGCTCATCTTGGCTAGCCACCTCTCTGTGAAGACTGGATTAGCCCGACTCACAGACTCTGGGACACAGACGCTGTGGGCCTGGACTGACCTCCTCCCACTCTTGCTGCCAGAGAAAGGTCTGGTTTCTTGGTTGTCCTTTCGGAATCCCAGGGAGGGTCCCGGCTTACCTCACGTGCTCACCCTTTCTGCAGGGGGACAGTGACTGACGGCCCCTCATCAGATCTCGTGATTAGAGTGGGGAGTTGGGGAGCCTCGTCGGAGAGAGCAGGACTGTGGTTCCAGAGAGAGGAATCATGATTGCTGTGGGCGGCACGGGCTGTTCCAGGCTGCCCCGGGCTGCGAGGTCGCGGGGGGGGGGGGGGGAGGACAGGTGTGGGCCACATCCCGGCACAGGAGTCTCGAGGGGGCGCTGGAGAGCCCTGCCCTCACGGCTCCTTCTGTCACACAGCACGACCCAGCTGCACTGAGATTCCCGAGTGTGTGCAAAGCCAGCCGCAGCGACCCAGCTGAATTCAGGGGTCTGGGGGGCTCGTCTTTCTCAGCCCAGCCTCTCCGCTGCGGCCCGGGGGGCACCTGGAGGGAGAGTTGGTGCGGGGAGAAAAGACAGGGCTCCTCCTGTGGAAAAGTAGGTCAGGCCGGCTCCCGCCCGCCCTCCATCATTCAGGCAAGGAGGCCGTGCAGGGCCTGGCAGTCTTTCTAAAGGCACCTTAGAAGTCTGAAGACTCTGCGCTTGCTTTCCTGAAACAGCCTGCAGACCCACTGAGAGGTCTCCCACCTCAAGGGGAGACGGAGGGAGACATAATACAGTGTTAATTATGATCACTTCTGTGGGAAGGGATTACAAATAGTTTCCTTCCCTCTAGAGTTTTCTGTATTTCCTCATTTTCTTCTAGAAGCATATGTTGCATTCTTATAATGGAACAAAAATATGAAACATACATATGTCCTCACCTTATTCTGATACCCCCCGAGTTATAATAAAATATAATGACACAGATGTTCAAATAATGTCAAATTGCAGTAAACTTTTAATCAAAGAACAAAAAGCTAATTCAAAGATGACTTTTAAAATACTATACAATAATGCCTTTGGAATTAAGGTGAAATTTGATACATTTATGTATACTCAAACAGTGTATAATAATTTAGAGGATGTTGATCAGTGTTGATGATGTTTTTAAAAGCAGATTTATTTCCCTAGCAGGGTTTGGCCAAAGCTAACATTAAGTTAATTTGCATTCCCCGAGCACACACCGTCTGAAATGGTGCTGAGCACTTGAGGGAAATTGACCTTGGAGGAAACATTCGCTTCCGAAGCGCCAAGTGCGCGATCCGCCCGTAGATCATGAAGAGCGGACTCCAGGGGTTGTCAGACCCCTGCGTGCGCCAGGCCTGTGACAGCCCTCGAGTGGCGTCATTTGTGAAAGCCCACCGTTGCACCAGGGATCATAGCGAAAGGCCCCGTGCCAGTCAGAATGTAAACCGAACCCCGGGCAGGCAGCGGGCGCCTGAAAGAGGACCGTAAGCAACGGAACGTCAAGCCAATTAGCAACGTCCAGGAGCTGAACGTTACGGTGAATGATTTCAAAAGCCTTGTATTGCAAGTTCTGTCTTCCTACGTTCCTCCCTTCCCGCCCTCCGTGGCCTTTTTTCTTCTTTCCTCTTTCTTCCCTTTTGTCCCAGCCACCTTGCACAAGGGCTCTAAGGTGGTGGTTTATAGGGGACCATAAAATGGAATTGAGAATCAAAGTAAGTCGCAAACAGGAGGGCTCCGAGACGACGGCAGAATGAATCGTGATTACCCAGGTGGCAAGGTCTCGCCCACGTGCATGAATTTGGCCCTGAACTTCTTCGTCGCCTTGGGTACACAACCCATAAGGGTAAAACACACCAGGCCCTCGAGGGGATTGACGTTTTTCTTACTCCACCGGTGGTTTTTAAACACCACGGATGATATTTACTGGCATGGAAAGCCACCCATAGCCTGGCCCACTGGGGCAGCACCATGCGTGTGGGAAGTCACACGTATGGGTGCTCCCTGGGTTCCAGATGCTCTGCTAAGCCTGACACACACGTTCTCCCATCCAGTCCTCACAAAGGGTGGTGGGCCTCACCCGCAGTGAGAAGGCAGGAGGTAGCAGAAGCACGGGTGGACCTGGGTCCGTCTCTCTTAGAAGCCCGCCCACACTCTTACTCCCTCCTAGCGGAGAGACGTCTGGAAGCAAGGCCGTAAAATTGTGAAAGTGGGTACACCTGTCCGGTAAGAACGTGAGTGGTGTCGTTGTCGTTGTTAACATTGCTATAAAAATCATTCAGTCCCTGGCTAGTGCAGCTCAGTGGACTGAGTGCCGGCCTGCAAATCGCTGGTTCGATTCCCAGTCAGGGCACATGCCTGGGTTGCAGGCTGGGTCCCCAGTAGGGGGTGCACAAGAGGCAACCTGCACATTGATGGTTCTCTCCCTCTATTTCTCCCTCCCTTTCCCTCTCTAAAAAATAAGGAATGTTTTTAAATCGCTTAAACATATGCAAAAGCATGGAGAATAATACACATATACCTGTGTAGGCACCACCCCAAAATTACAAATGTTGGCATTTTGCTCTGTTTCTTCGGATTTTTATAAACTGCAGTGCTCACTGAGGCCCTCTCTCCTCCTCATCGCACAGCGATCCTGAGAGAGGCCGTACACGTGGTCTTCAACAGCACTTCCGCGACAACTGCTTCTCACAGGCGTCATTTTTCGGTGAAATGTTTAGATGCAGCATCTCCTTGGGAGAGCCAGGCATAACTTAAAAATGGATCCCCGCCCAGACAACCCCACAGGGAGGGGGATGGGATGATGGGCAGATGAAGGAGCAAGGGGCCAAAACCACCTCAAAAAGCGAGTGCACTCTGTGTGTTCCCTGA